TTGCTGTACTTAAGCAGAATTTTGACATATTTTTACTTTACTTCGTTATTTACATTTCTAGCGACTTTTACTTTTACTTCACAACATTTCCTTAATAAAATGTGTACTTTTACTTCAATACATTTCCCTTAACCATCTTAGTTACTAGTTAATACAATTTAAAATGAGAAGAAATCTGATTGGGCAATGCCTGTTTGTTCTCTGTGACTTCATGCGGCCACTTGTCTCTCCCTCATTGACACTATCAATCACAAACCTGGCCCCTCCCCCTGCCGCTCACCTGAAAACTGCAGCTCCGGCTGTGAACAAGCTACTTTGTAGATGCACGTGCAGATATCAATCGTTACAATAGGTCTTTGTTGACTCGCAGTGGAGCCACATTCCTAATAGGTGTGAAAATGACAGTAGCTGCTAAAAAGGAGAAGTTTGGTGTTCTCCAGGAGATGAACTGTTTCAAGATTATTATATATCCTATTATATTATCCTATAATATACAGTATCCTATATTATTCATTAGTCAGAAACAAGCCATAACCAAACAGAACCTAGCTCAGTAAACCAGCCAACTACACAACAATGTGGACTTTCTAACAGCTTTGTTAATAAAGGGTAATAAAGACTGAATGAATATACTTTTATTAGAATCAGAATGCGTTTATTGTCATTATACGCAAATACAATGAGTTTGCTTTTAAAAAAGTCTGATTCTCTCAATCTTTCATTGTTCAGTTCAAACGTTCCAAGTTTTTGTCACTGGATATTGCACCCAATAAATGTTGTTTTGGAAATTCTAACCATTTACTTTTACTTAATACTCTTATTTTAAGTACATTTTAGAAGAGAAGTTTACTTTTGATACTTAAGTACATTAGATGTCCAATACGTTAAGACTTTTACTTGAGTAATAAATTTAAAGGAGACTTTAACTTTTACCAAAGTAATTTTATGGTAAGATACTTGTACTTTCACTGAAGTATGACTTTGAGGTACTTTATACAACACTGAAGGCAACCTATGTTAAGTCACATTTATTTCTACTACTAAAACTAATTTAGTTATTGATTCAGTCCAAAACAAGTGTTATCAAAATGTCTCATGAACAAGAGAATGGATTTTAATGAAACCTTAAAAATTGGATGAACTTTGAAAAACAATTAGCTTTGAAAGTTAATCCAATTCAAGGTGGCTGCCACAGCAAAGCACACTCGATCAATTTTACAGATACTGAGCTGATACTGGGTATGAGAGTAGCTGAGTCTCACAAGCTATATGCTTTTGTTTGTTTATTTGTTTGTTTTTGTGTTTAGATTGCCATTAGTCATTAATCCATTCGACCTTTATTTATGCAGGTTAATTCCATTGAGCCTCGAGGACTCATTTACCTGATTTCAGTGGTCTAGTCTACATTTCTGTACTCAGTATACTGTGCTTGGAAACCAAAGTACACTGGTTAGTACAATGTAATCGTTAATTTATTTTGATTTTTAAGCGTATTGAACATTTCCAAATTTCTCTGATGCTTATATTTGAATTAATGCACAACAAACTTTGTACAACTGTTGGCTTTGTATTAAAAACGTTAGAATTTATAAAACAGTGTCAAAGCAAAGCGCTGCATACCGATAGATTGTTATGGAAGCGTTTTAACCGTTTAACATGTGACACGTGCCTAATGATATGTCATGTATTATCTGGCACTTTTAAGTGGGTATGCTGAAATTCTTACGCTTTTCTAGTGGGTATACTCCGTATGCCCGAGTATCACGTACCACTGCCTGATTTCAACAAAGAATGATGACAGCGATGGACAACAGCGACAACAATAGACTATTATAAAAGAGACGTACAGATTTTTGAGATGGCAAATTAAAATCATTAAAATCAAACAAAAATCACTTCCGGCGAGCTGATGGACGGCAGCTCCCTCCGGCTTCTCTGCAGTCTTTTATCATCAAACTGACCCGTTTTTTCGAACCGGACTAAAGTTGGTCCTCCTTCCAACCGAATTCGGTGTTCAGTGACTCAGAGAGCCAGACGGGACCGTCCAAAAATATATTTTGGTCGAGGACCGGCCCCCCACACCCCACCGGTCACTCTGAGCGCACCCTGCCGGCCAGGTGACCCCTCGAGCTGGGGAGAAGGTCCGGTGTTTTTTTCTCTCCCTCTCTGGACGTCAACAAACTTCTCATCTGGACCTTTGGGATTCTATCTGGTTCCGACAAAAATCGCCGGGTGGTATTTCGCTGGTTTTCTGCTGGACTGGCCCTCGTGGTGTCTTCATAGGTGTGGGGGAAGTGTACCTGTGACCCTCGAACTGGACCAGAACCGAACCGAGTTGGCTGTGGGGGACTTTGTCTTTAACGGAGCCGGTCTCAGCTTCAGTGAGCAGCCCGTTACTTTTAACGAAGGACTGTCCACCTCTGTAGAGTCGCTGTGTTCACCTGGAGGAGAAGCTCCGGTGCATTGAAGCGCCGCCGGACCGGGCCGCTGGACCGGGCCGCTGGACCGGAGCAGAACCAGGCCAGGGACAACTTCAGCCTCTTCGTCTCTCATGCTGTGGAGCGCCGGAGCCGGACTGGAGCAGAACCGGACCGGACCAGTGTCGACTTCAGCCTCTCCGGTCAGTCTCGTTTTTCACCGGGGGTGTCTCTCGTGCTGTCGGGTGTGGAGGTGACGTGCAGAGAAGCAGAGGAGCAGGGCTGCGTGGTGCTCGAGAGAAGTTTGGAGTTTGTATCGGAGTTGCTGCAGGCCTCCATCCAAACTCACCTGGATAATAATTAATTTTATTCCGGATCACGCTGTTGGCCCCTGTTGACCTGAAACGAGCTAGGATCATGCCTTTCACTTCAGGAGGATTTTCTGGTAGCTCGCTCTGTTATTTGCTGCGAATTATCTGTTTCTGTTTCGGCCTGTTGATTCTGGACCCAGCTTGTTTCCCATGGGAGCATCCATCCATCCATCTTCACTGGGGGGCCGGAGCCCCCCTCAGCCCAACTCAAACTGCAGTTGGGCCACCTCGTCGGGTTTGTTTGCCCATTTGAACTGTGACGTTTTATGGTCTGAAACTTTTCTGCATCATTCATATTACTGTCACTATTTTCATTTCAATTCATAACTTTTATGGACAGAATTTCTAGGTGCAGCCAAGGTGTTGAGGGGATCCGTTTTGGTGGCCTTAGGATTGCGTCTCTGCTTTTTTCAGATGATGTGGTCCTATTGGCTTCATCAGATCGTGATCTACAGCTTTCGCTGGAGTGGTTCGCAGCCGAATGCGACACGGCCGGGATGAAGATCAGTTCCTCCAAATCCGAGGCCATGGTCTTGAGCCGGAAAAGGGTAGAGTGACCTCTCTGGGTCAGGGAGGAGGTCCTACCCCAAGTGGAGGAGTTCAAGTATCTTGGGGTGTTGTTCACGAATGAGGGAAAAATGGAGCGTGAGATCGATAGGCGGATAGGTGCAGCATCTGCAGTGAAGCGGGCGCTGTACAGGTCTGTCATGGTGAAGAGAGAGCTGAGTCAAAAGGCGAAGCTCTCAATTTACCGATAGATCTACGTTCCTACCCTCATCTATGGTCACGAGCTTTGGGTTGTGACCGAAAGAACGAGATCTCGGATACAAGCGGCCAAAATGAGTTTTCTCCGCAGGGTGTCTGGGCTCTCCGTTAGAGATAGGGTGAGAAGCTCGATCATCCGGGAGAGACTCAGAGTAGAGCCGCTGCTTCTCCACGTCGAGAGGAGCCAGTTGAGGTGGCTTGGGCATCTGGTTAGGATGCCTCCTGGACGCCTCCCTGGTGAGGTGTTCCGGACACGTCCCACCGGGAGGAGACCCAGAGGAAGACCCAGGACACGATGGAGGGACTATGTTTGTGAGGACTATGAGGTCAATAAACTGTTAAAAAATGCTGTCTATCATGGTGCACTAAGATTCATAACTGGCTGTGATTATCGTACCCACCACTGCACCCTGTATTCACTGGTTAACTGGACAACATTAACTTCACGCAGACTCTCTCACTGGTACATTTTCATCTTTAAATCACTTCTTGGTCTGCTGCCTTCATACATCTCCTCCTACATGTCTCTGCGTGAGTGCAGCTACAGCGTGCGCTCTCAGGACATTATTACCTGCAGTGTTCCCTCAATGAGGACTGAACTAGGCAAAAGGGCCTTCTCCTACTCCACTCCTGTTTCCTGAAATATCTTACAAAAAGATTTGAAGCTCTCGACCTTGACCTCTCTAAGTGTCTTTAAGAACCTGTTGGCCTCCTGGCAGGGACCAACGCAGTTCCTGTTTTTAGTTTTCTACATTCGCCTTAGAATCTAGCTGTTTTTTGTTACCTTTTTCTTTTAGCCATCCTATTTGTAAAAAAAAAAAAAACCTGCAGTATGACTTTTTATAATTGTTTATTGTTGTTGCTGTTGTCCATTGTTGTCATCTTTCTTTGTTGAAATCAGGTCTCTCTTGTAAATGAGTCCTCGAGGCTCAATGGGATTACCAGTCTAAATAAAGGATGAAAAAAATAAGATGGCAATTAAAAATAAATTAAAATTAAATTAAAATTTACAAGAGAGACCTGATTATAGGCATTAAATCGTTAAAACTTGTGTGTGAGCTTTTTAAACCTGTTTCCCACTGCGCTGTAATTAGGATCAATACATCTGTGCATGTTTGTTTGTTGTTTAGCGACAAAGATGTTTACCTGAAGGCTTCACCTTCTGCTCACTGAAACCTTAGAAACACGGGTACACACGGGAACCCTTTTCTTGTCTTCTCGGGCTTTCTTCTACAGCCCTGTGAACACGCCAACACTCACAAATCAAATCTGATGTCAAAATACTTCTCGTACTGACTCTTGTATTTTTAAATGAATAAACATTACCTTGAACAGTGACATTCTTGTGTTCAAACTTTATCTATCCGTGACGCGCACGTCCCGCTCTGACGTACTGGGCAGCCTGACAGACTAAACTCAGGGCTCAGGCTGCCCTCATGCTGACGGGCATTATTTCCGATATGTGAGCAGCGGGTTTCTCGTCGTCAGTCAGACCAGAAGCGCTCCAACCACCAACATGATTCGGTAAGTTTTACACTTAAAATACATTTTAATGAATGTATTTTCAACTCCTGATAACCAAACAGAGAGTAGCCCGGATAAGAACATTTAAACCCAGTTTTTGTTTATTGTTGGGCACGTCATCTCTAAAAAAGCGGAAATACTCGGAACACTTCTTAAATTGCGGTTATTCAGCTTGTATTTTACTCTAATTAACAAATACATGTGTTGATATCTAGTTTGCTTTAGTCTTAATATACAAATAAAATAAAAACAGAACAATGAAACAAATAAAAATGCTTTTTGTCTCTGTATGAAATCGGGTTTTCAGTTCCGGAGTATTTTTAAAGCAGACATCCTCTTTTTGTTTGTATATATATATATATATATATATATATATATATATATATATATAAATTCACATGTTTGTTTTGTACCTTGGCCCACAATAAATCATTGAATAGTGTAGGAAAAGACAGGAATGTAAAGATAAGCCTTTGAGTTTTGATTAAATCTATGGATGATCATTAACTCTCATTTATTCAGTCACATATTTACATGCTGTAAGAAAAAATATAATAGACTGGTCTGCATATATCATTTAAACCCTACGGCACAATAAAGACTGTACAGCAAAACGTAATAAAGGTTGAAACTGAGAAATAGTGTAACAAATTGTGAGTTTAACTATGGCAGTAACACAGATTTTTAAAGAGAGACTGAAAAAAAAAGCATAAAGTGGCACTTTTTTTTTTGTTGTACTTGTTGGAAATTAAAACAAAGCGTTTCTGAGAGATGGTGATGAGAGGATGTGGATGCCAGCTCGCAGTTTGAACGTCAGTATCTGTAACGGTTGGGAGGGGCGTTAATGCGCATGACACATCTGTGATGACGAGATTTACTTCAGCAATTTGATGTGAAGCAAAAAATGCTGGCAACTAGTCAAGATTACTGTAAAAAAAAGTGTTACAGTATACGCTTGAGTGAGAAAGAATCAAACTACATTCTCTTTGTCTTAGACAGTCTTAGTACGACAAAAAGAATGCCTTAAAGTAAGTGCCAGATCATTTTTTAACTTCTTTTCACGTCTTGGCAGAATTACTGCAACCAGAGAGATAAACAATTAAGCAAACAGTTGGTTTCCTGTTTCTTTAGCAGGTTTTCTATAAATAAAACTAATCTGCTGCGGTTATTCTGAAGAATGCTGCGAGGATCAAACGCAAACAAGAAATCAGGAAGAAATTAAGAAGACAGTAATAATTGTCAGGTTGATATTTTGTTAATCTAAATACCCCAAGGGGCAGCAAGGTGGTGCAACTGGTAGAGCTGCTGCCTCTCAGCGAGCAGGTTACCCTGGTCTGGGGCCTTTCAGGGTAGAGTTTGCATGTTCTCTCTGTGCATGCGTGGGTTTTCTCTGGGTACTCCAGTTTTCACACAGACCAAAAACATGCATGTTAGGCTGATTGGTAACTCTAAATTGTCCCAAGGTGTGAGTGAGAGAGTGAATGGTTGTTTGTTTCATTTGTCTCTGATGTGTCCCTGTGATGGACTTGTGACCTGTCCAGGGTGTACCCCATCTCTCACACAGTGATGGCTGGACATGGGCACCAGTGACCCCCGCGACCCAAAAAGGAAGAATCAATCAATCAATCAATCCAACTTTATTGGAGCGGGTAAAAGATAAAAGATGGATGGATGGATGGATAAATACCTCATTTTGTGTACTTTTGAAATAAAAATAGGCACATATGGACCACTTTAAATAATTATTTATTATCAGTGTGGCTTTTGGAACAGGATATTCAGGGCTGTAGCCTTGAAGGTTGTGGAAGATTTTGTGTCAGAATAAAGCTGCAGTGTTCTTGCGGTGGGTTGAAAACACCCGAGACAAAAGTGAGATGGGTTTGAAACAGCTATGAGACTTTCAGCCTCAGATTGTGTGCTATAGATGACATACGACACTAATGCAGACCACACTCAAAAGGCTAAAATACAAACGTAACTTTTAACAAATCTGAAAGAGGCGACTAGACAAAAAATACAAGAAAATGAGCAAGACAAAAAGCCTGGCAGGCCGTGAACACACCCAACAGAATAAACATGAAACCTGGGATTTTATCTGCGTAAAGGGAAGTAATGAGAAATGAAAATCTATTGTGGTAATCTGTAAACCGACACCTGATGAGCTGAGAGCAGACAGAGAAAAACACTGATTTTAAAAAGCACCGATGAAAATATGAGCAACAAACCCGACATAAACAACAGAATTACCAAAAAATAATTGCTAGAAAACCTATGTAATATCTGAGGACTTGACTTGACTTGTGCTAGTAAAAACAAACCATTTGCATGAAGCTATGCTTCACCAGACAAAGTGTTGATGCCAGTTTGTTTTAAGTTCATGTTTTACAATCAGCACTTCGGCACATCATTTTTTACTAAATAAGTGAACTAAAAGATTGAGTTTTAATCCGACCAATCCTTCAACAGCTAAATGTGCAGTAATAAGGACCCTGCATGTACAACTATATACAAATCTGTTTTCTTTATTGCAGGTTGTTCAGGAAAACAATCACCGTATCGCAAGCATTCGTACTGCTGGGAGCTCTCTCTATGGTCATTTACTTAAGTAAATACAATATTATTCATCCCAATATCCCCATTCTCCTAGTTTCTGATGTAAAAAATGACAGTCAAGTGATGCCTCTCACCACAGTCAGTTCTCACGGATCCACAAGTAAAGTCCAAGTCATGGAAAAATGTGATGCCAACATGTCTGTCACCAGTTTGACAGACTTTGCCTCTCTTCCCGATGCTATAAAAAATTTTCTCTTCTATCGTCACTGTCGTCATTACCCCATGTTGCTAGATCTCCCTGGCAAATGTGGAGGCATTAACCAATCCGAAGAAGTCTTCCTTCTGCTGGTTATTAAAAGCTCCCCCAACAATTACGACCGCCGAGAGGTGCTGCGCAAAACCTGGGCTAAAGAGAGGATGCACAACGGTGTGTGGATCCGAAGGATCTTCATCTTGGGATCGTCTGGTGATGGTTACGAAAAAATCAAACTCAACAAGCTTCTCCAGGCTGAGCAAGAGGAGTTCAACGACATCCTCCAGTGGGACTTTCATGACACTTTTCACAACCTCACCTTGAAGCAGACGCTCTTCCTGGGTTGGATGGAACGAAACTGTCCGAAGGTTCGCTTTCTGTTCAATGGTGATGATGATGTGTTTGCCAACACGGACAACATGGTTGAGTATCTCCAAAGCCTTGACAATAATGGAAGCAAACATCTCTTCACTGGTTACTTGTTCATAAATGAAATTGTTGTTCGATGGAAGGGAAGCAAGTACTTCATTCCAAATGTGATACAGGAGACAAAAACATATGCCCCTTACTGTGGAGGCGGGGGCTATCTACTCTCTGGCTACACGGCATTGGTGATATACAAAATGTCTCAGAGCATTACCATTCATCCCATTGATGACGCTTACATGGGCATGTGTTTGGCCAAAGCAGGACTTGAACCTTCTTTGCATGTCGGCGTAAAAACCCTTGGACTGAATATGCCTTCGAAAGGACAGGATGGACTTGAGCCTTGCTATCTGAGACAGCTGTTGCTCGTGCACAGATTCCTTCCATCTGAGATGTATTTAATGTGGAAACAAGTAAACGACCCACATTTGGACTGTAGACCTTCTACTAAACTCTAAAAGAATCAATTTGTCACTTCCATTTGGCAAAAGAGCTTGAGAACATAAAGTTGGAGTGACATGTTTTGTCTTCATAAGTTGTGGCATTATTTGTTTTGTGTAATATTGTCACTGAGACCATTTTTAAAGATGGTCATGTGCCATAGTGGCTTTTATGTAAGCGAAACAGGAAACTAGAAAGAGGTGCACAACATGCCGTACAGGGTCCTGGTTGGGGAAACGTCATAACATAGCACAGCACATAACTGAATAAATTATGTAGTTGTATTTTTGGTTGCAATTCATAATACAGACCAGTATGTTGTAAGTAACAGGTACAAACATGGTAGTATGTATCTGGAAAGTACCTTGTTTGTCACAGGCATGTATATTTATGTAGGCTGTAGTATTGCAACCACTTTTTATTTGTATGGTTTATGGTGTGGCATATTGTGTACATTCAGCTTGCTACCAAGTCAAGTAGCAAAACGACTTGATATCTGCTGAGAATCAAAAAAAAAAAAAGAAGATGGACAAGATGGGACACAAGGAGCTGTGTCTGTATCCTCAACAAAACCATCAGAGAGTGAAAAACCTCACGGTTGTTTGTGAAAAGCAAACGGGAATCCAATAAAGTGTACAGGCTGGTTTTCCTAGCCCAGCAGTTGATTTATTTTTATTTATTTTTATTTTTTTGTTTAGTTTTTTTACAAACTTAACTTATTATGGCCTATATTCGTTAGGATGATTTGAGCTGTATTGTCCCAGTTGTTTCCAACATGAACACCAACATGTTCTTGTGAAAGGGCACAAACGCTGTTGAGTTTAAATGTGTATCGTTACTTGACCAGGAAAAACAAAAGCAGTGCAGTCCTTTGAGTACAAGAACATTGTATTTTGAAGGTTAGTATCTAATCAGTTGTTTGTTTATATTTGAATACTTAACTTTATAAAAGTACATTCAATTTAAAAAAACAAAACAAAAGTTAAGCTGTGATACGCTGTGAAAACATAAAAGCTACCATGATGGAGTGGCAGACTGGCCAGAGCTCCCTCGTTGGGACACAGAACAAGTTCGAGGAGGTACAACAAAATGAAAGAGTGGATGGCTCAGAATGACCGCCCCTCCAAAGAGATGAAGTTAAACAAATACTGCATCTCATTTTCTTTACTGGTTGTACAGTGTAAATGTACGTTAATGGACTAAATAAATAAACTAAATCCTTTGAAAGTTGATTTATTTGGGACAATTGGATTTTATTTTTGTGATGTGTGTACAAAATTGTTGTCATTTTTTGTAGTTTCAAGTATTCTCCAACTGTTATTTTTTTAAAACATGAGCCTATTTGGCTTCATATGGGGGGGGAAAAAAAAGGTGACATCAATAGATTTGGGAATTTCTTTGCTTTTTCCATATGAGCTATTTATATGCCATGGTCCATACGTTACCTTTTCAGCTGCCTTTCTGAAAACCAGCTAGGTATTTTTATGTAAGAAAATATGAAGATATATATTGTTAATAGCGATTAAAGTCGAAGTAGATATCTTATTTGCACCTGGTTGGAATATGGAGGAGGTATGTCTGTGTGAAGCCCACTTCTCATTAGTACAGGTCAAACTACACAAACATTTTGCCTTATTGAAAGTATGCAGAATGCAGCAAAAGAGTTAAAAATGCTAACGGGCAGTATATCACTAGAAAAACCCATCCCTTTTTGGCCAGCACACTAATAAACCAAGACAGCCAGGAATGTCTACAAGAAAAACAAGTCACTGCGCTTCTACTGAAACTCCACAGATCTTAGGGTTTCCTCGTAAATGGCAGCCACTCCCATAATAACTTCACCTGAGTGTGTTTCTTAGAATGAACAAAAGATTTAAAGGAATTGTGTTGCCATTTCCACTTCAAGACTTGACTTGTAAAAATCCATAAGCTGAACCGCAATGCATGACACATCCTCTCAAACATACTTTACCTCAGGACTTTATTCACTGGTAAAAGTGTGTTTGAATTGTACGTAACAATTGTTTTTACTATGTATATTTTTCCAGAATCCCGGTCCGGGAGTTTTTCTGTGTGGAGTTTGCATGTTCTCTCTGTTTATGAGAGTACTGCGGGTACTGCGGTTGCCTCCCATAGATCAAAAACGTGCATGTTAGACTGATTGGTAACTCTAAATTGTACCTAGGTGTGAGTGAGAGAGTGGATGGTTGTTTGTCTCTATTTGTCTCTGTGATGGACTGGAGACCTGTCCAGGGTGTCCCCCTGCCTCTCTCACTTGATGGCTGGACATGGGCACCAGTGACCCCCGCGACCCGAAAAGGAAGAAGCAGGTAAAGATAATGGATGGATTTTTCCATCTTAACATTTTGTCAACTTACAAGATACATTTGTAATGCTAATAAAATTATGAAACAAAAATTCTAACAGAAATGGCTTTAGATCTTGTCACCAATTTTCCAGTTCCATAACCACCTTCAATAAAGTGAACAAAGATGAAGAGGAAGAAAAAAAAAAAGTAAAGAAAGGGACAGATTGGGGGGAGGTGCCTCCATTTTGCTGCATTATATGGGAACTGCTAAATTAAGCCACAAAGATGAAGTGATAGTACGTCATCAGCATTCTTTACTGGCAAAAGAAAGAGAGAAATATTTGCTGACAAAACTTCTAAGTTGCAGAAATCTAGAAAAGTGAGTTTTTGGAATGTTTTAACATTCCTGCAGCTTATCCAAGAACATGAGTGTACCATCCATTCATTATCTTTTACCCGCTTCTTCCATTTTGGGTCACGGGGGTCGCTGGTGCCCATGTCCAGCAATCATTGTGCAAGGGGCGGGATACACCCTGGATGGGTTGCAAGTCCATTGCAGGGACACATAGAGACAAACGAGACAAACAACCATTCACTCTCTCACTCACACCTAGAGACAATTTAGAGTTACCAATCAGCCTAACTGTGGGAGGTCTGTGGGAGGAAACCGGAGTACCTGGAGAAAACCCACGTATGCACGGAGAGAACATGCAAACTCCACCCAGAAAGGCCCCAGGACCGGGATTTGAACCAGGGACCTGCTCACTGAGAGGCAGCAGCTCTACCAGTTGCGCCACCGTGCTGCCCTAGTGTACCTTTGTCAAAAAGATGTTTGAGAAAAACCACACCTTTTATTACAGATTTGAAATGCTTCATTTTTGGACGGCTGTAAAAGATGATTGTTCACCAAAGGCGAGAACACTTGACTTTTTAAGTTGGACGTGCTTCTTAAATTGAAACCAGATTTTCAGATTGTCGTGTGACAGAGTTAATAATTGGGAAATGTGAACATGCAACCATTGGTGAGCTCAACTTTGAAATAAAAGAGATTGTTGGAATGTTGTCTACTTCCATAATGGTCCATGATGGGCCCTGATTGGTCTTTCAGAAATATGTCCAGAATATGACTTTGCTGATGTTTGCAGCCCAACACATGAAATTAAGCAGGCCCAGACCCCCCTGCACCCTTGGTTCCTCAGAAACCTTCTTTTTCATTTGGGGGACAGATTTGTTCCATATGAATGTGGAAATCCATTTATTTCATGAAATACAGATTTTGGCAGTAAATATGGCATTTGAAAGAGATACAACAAGCTTGGTAGCACTGTCATTTTAACTGTAAAATTGTTTAACCCTTCCCACCAGAGAAGTGGGCACCTATTTAAATCTTATATTGTTTTGTCTAGAACAATTTTAAAATAGTATCTGTAAAGATCTTTATAGAAACATAATTTTTTTACACCTATAGGTTAAATCTTCAGCCTGATTAAGGGGAGGGAGCTCAGGTCTGTTGTTTTCCCACTTTGAGAATTTCTTCAAATAGTTTTTCAAGAACAGGAGAGAGTTTGGATGAAATTGTCTTATGAAATTCTATTGGCAGTCCATCAGGACCAGGTGATTTACCATTTTGCAAAGAATTAATAGTTTGTATTATTTCTGCATTAGATATTTTGGAATGTAAGCTAGCTTGGTCAATTAGAATCAGAATCAGAATAAACTTTATTATCATTGCACGGCGATACAACGAGAACATGTACGTACAGTCGTCTGAAAGATTGGCGGAGTGCACGAAGCTGCTACTATGGAAAGCGCCGCCCTCTTATTCTTATTCAGAATAATATTTTGCTTAGCTAAGAAAAGGGAAGAAAGCATGAGGAGAGATGGTATAAAAACAAATCTCTCACACTGTGTCCTAGACAGGGCACGATTTGAGGCATAAAAAAAAACTACCCCCCCACCCCCTCTCAGCCATTGTCCAGATAAGAGGTGTTATTCATCATCAGCTCAGTTGAGGTTCTGTCACATGTCCACGGCCTTGGGGAAGGGAGGGGTGAGGAGACAGACAAAGCATCTTTGTTGTTTTCAAAACATTCCAGGAGGAGTTGAGATAAGTCCGGCTTCAAGGCCACAGTTTGGGTAAGGCAGAAGTCGTGAATTGCTGTTTCTGCCTTTTAAAGTCTCGCTGGTATATATTCCTCTGATGGAACTCCAAAAACAGCCAAATCGATCCTTTATGCCAAAAGTCGAGCTCACAGCTCCTCCAAGATTATTTCCCCTTCATGTGTGCTGCAAGAGAGTCCATAGTCCTGATAACAGCTGCTCCAGCTCCCTGCTGCAGCTCCACAAATTCAGTCTGAGCGCTGTCGAGCTTCGACACATCCACACTAATTTGTAGACAATCCAGTATTCACAAGCCAAAAAGCAAAATAACCAGTTGTCTGTCATCATGAATCCAATTTGTTTCCATCCAGGTAAGAGGGTCCTCCTTACCCTGACTCCTGTTGGGAGAAGTTGATCAATTTTGTTGAGAGACCAGCTGAACCTTCGAATTAGGAGGTGTGCAGAAAAAAAAAGAGGCTTTTTAAAGGTTCACAGGATGAAAGAGGTCTGACTTCACCGGAGTTAACTTTGGGAATGTTCAACAAAATATTGAATTTCCAAACTGCTGACAAGAACCCTGTGATGTGTAGATGACTGTATTCTCTGAATTGTTCATGTATAGTTAAAGGATGGGAGGATACTTGTCTTTGTGTTGTACAAATTTCAGTAAGATTGCTGGCTGCAGCTTGTCTCTGTGTGATAGTAATCTACCTATTTTGTCATTTTGTTCAAAGTGATTTTGTTTAGTTTTGAGTAAAAGTTCAGTTCAGTTGAGAGATTGTTGTACTCTATAGCAGCAGTCGTTTTTATACAAACTTGGATTGGGAGAGAAGCATATGGATCATCAAGTTTCTTGATCTGGTCAGACTGGTCGGTAAGATGATGGATGTGTTTCCCTTTTTTTATGAGCTGCTTATGAAATTATGTCCTCTGATATAGGCTTTTAAAGTTTTCCCAAAAGTAATGTACGGTAGAGTTGCATTCGGGTCCAAAATATCCGACCCGGCCCCAGCCCGTAGCCATCATTTCCGAACCCCACATGATCCAACGAATTAACATTAATTATAGGTCCGAACCCGAAAAACCCCTGACATTTTTAGTTAAGCTTTGACTGCCAGTTATTAACGATCGGCAGACGCACGCGGCTGAGTAAAGGGGGCAGAAGATCGGAGCTGAGGGGGTATTTGTCCTTTCATGGAAAGTCAAAGCGCATTAAATCCCTGCTTCTGCCTGCTTTGGACCCTGCTCTGACATGTCGGATTGTGATCTCACCTGTCTGGGTCGTCGGCCACGCGCGTCCTCTGACGCAATCAAAAGCCCGACACGACCTGACCCACACATTACGCACATTATTATGGACCGGACCGGCCCTAATCTGGGTCGGGCGGGGCCGGGGTTCAGGTTAGAAATAACAGCTCTAATGTACGGCATGCCATAAAACATAAATCTGATTTGTTGTGAAATTTTTGAATGAAGTAGGATCATAATTTCATTTCAGTTTATTTATATAGCACCAAGTCACAACAGAAGTCGTCTCAGGGCACAAAACAGAAA